ATAAGTTGTCAGGGCAAAAAGTAGAGGTTACACGTAGTGGTCGCACATCTAAAATGCCTATCAGATATTTGTAGGAAAATATCCCTGTCGTTATTCCTTGAACATAAATGTTTAGTTTTGTTCTTATTATTATGTTGTAAAGTTTTGATGTTTCCTGTTATTGTTGAGCAACATTATCATACACTTAGTTCCTTAGGTGGGAGTATGTCAGAAACTATGAAAACTATTGTTAAAAGAGCAGGTAGAAAAGGTCTCCGTTTTGGTGACTTGACAGTTTAGAGAAGTTACAGTTTGATTTAACAAAAAGACAAGTTGTAAGTTGTAACAAACCAAATCTGTTTAAAATAAATTGATCAGTATTGGAAAAGCCCGGAACCAATTTCTTTGGAAATAGAACCGCCGTAGCGCAAATAGCGGGTAGCCTTTTGTGAGCGCGACAATTACCATTCAGAACTTATAAAAACTGCCAGTAATCGCTTTTTTATTTCGGAGAATGTGAAATTTAATTCATTTTGTTATAATAATTTCAAAAACTAAAGAAATCTTAAAATTGTTAGAAATTATTTATTTTATTATATAATCAGCTTTCTTCGACACAAATTTTGATTTATTCCAGTTGATAGTTCTTTTAATGCCCCATATTTTAACTAACCAAAATAAAGAATTTACGTCGCAATGTTGCCAGAAAGCACACAAATCATGTTCATAAGCAGTATCCATCAGAATAAAAGCTTAATGTTGAAAGTCATAAATTTTACATAGTCATTTGAAAAGTCCTAATGAACGATTTTATATAGCCTTAATGCAAAATACGACGACATGCAGTGATAACCCAAATTCGTTCGGATTCTAAAGATGCCTGATGATGTCAGAATGATAAATGATGATGGGATAAAACTGAAAATTATGCTACATGCAAAAATGTACATTTGACTAAATTATATTCAAAGTATTGTGTGAGCCAACAGACTATCATCTTGAAATCACATTCGAAATATGTGTCAATTGCAATGGTTTATAATGATGCTTCATTCATAATTGGAGAGTTAAAACACCATAGCAGGTCTTCCGCGTGCAACTGTAAAGCCTAAGAGAGCTTGATAACACATCCAGGATTGAACAGGCCAACAAAAAAGTTGATATATTTCAGGGGGATTTATACAGTCACTGGGGGCAAGCGATCTAAAATATTTTGAAGATTGCCACACTTCCGGTAAGACCGGAAGTGGGTGTCAACTTGCTTATTTTGAGTGGAACACCATATATATTTTTTTTTCAATCTACTTTCTTTTCTTAATACAGGGTGTCCCATCGAGAACCGCTGCGCTCGATGCGCTACTACAGCACTTGTCAAAAGCTTTTCTTCAGAACGGATATTCCCATTTGGACATCAAAAAAGCTGGAAGAGTGGGCCGTGCTCAAAAACGTGAATCCACTCTGAGAGCATTCCTGCCCTTTGTTACTGACAGAATTGAGAGGCTCCTGAGGAAACACCACATAAGAACAATCTACAAGCTCACAACAAAGACCCGAGAATGTCTAGGGTCAGTTAAAGACAGAAGACCCCCTTCGAAACTGCAGGAATCTACAGGATTCCATGCTCCTGTGGAAGCGTCTACATAGGAAGTACTAAGAGATCGGTTGCGACAAGAATAGAAGTACACCGACCGAATTGTAAACTGGGGCATCTGGAAAAGTCGGCAGTGCCGTCGAACATGCCCTCGGCGATGGAACACACAACATCTATTTCGGAAAGGCACAGGTCCTGGCAACAACAGGGTATCGCCCCCAACTAATACGAGAAGCCATTGAAATCTACAAACACGACGACGATTTCGAAAGAATCGACGTCGAATAGAGACAATAGCGCTAAACAGAATATGGTTCCCAGCACTCACCAACGCAAAAACAGCAAGAAAAACCAATAGCTCAGGACAGGAGAGAGATCGCAGTATACCGGAGAATAGCAACAGCCAACAGAATGCGCAGGATCCGTCAACACAGGCCACGTCATCACAAACCACATCATCGCAACCGGTTTATAAATACGGACTGCGCCCGAGAAATAGCATCGGCACGTGTAAGCGTTCAAGCAAACCACTTCTGAAGATGCAAGCGAGCTCGGGCTTGCAAAACGTCAAAAAGAAATTCTACCGAATGACTGCCGAAAAACCCGAAAAACCCATTAGTTTCAAGGAATGGCCTCGAAAGTCTATCTCTTTTGCCAAAAATTAAAGTTCGCCATGTCATGGTCACAGAACACCTCTGTGTCATGTCATCTGTAAAAAAAAAACAAAATGTTCCCAAATCTATACTTAACCGGCATAGTTGTCAAGTGGATTCATTCTTTTGCTATGGGCAGATTAAATGTTGACGGTGCAAATAAAGTCCTCTTAAGGCGGCCTTAAAATTTAAGCGTTCCATCGGCATTCTATACTTAGGATGAAAACTGTGCAAACGCGCATCAGAAACTTAGCCCGGCAACAACTTCCTAGACGATTTTAAACTAATTGAGTATGATGAAAACAGACCGAAACATTTTCAAAAATAAATAGTTGTGAATGCGAAGTAAATGACTAGGATGGCCGCTTTGCCGATTAAGTCTTTGTTCACGTTATAGCAAATCTCGTAACAAACATTTTTCCTATACATTTTTCGAGCGAATGCTGTTTCCCATCGTTTTTCACACTCTGAAATTCACCAAGTTGCAAAACAAAACAACGGTCGCCATGATGGTTCAGCTCTTTGCGCCGGCGTGCCAAGCGAAATTTTTCGCGTAGTTGCCAGTACTATGTTACCACTTTCTAAACTCTACCACTTCCTTAACCTTTTTATGTAAACAAATCATGTATTATTATTAACCATTTAATATACCAAAACTGATTTTATTTTATTTTCTTTGTTTGCAAATACAATTAATTTGATATTTCAAACTGCTGGCTGCAATCAGCTGGGTCCCGGCTAATTTAAGCGCGATGGAGGAATGAGCTTATCAGTGTCGTCTACTATTTCCTGAATGAACGTAAATCTGCTAAGTTTTCAACCTTGAATGAATTACTTTTTTGTTTTCATTGAGATTTTCTACTTTGGTGGCAGTTCGGCAATATGGCTGACCAGTATGCAATTTTCGGCTGCGCGAACCGTGCGGGCATGTGCGCGTGCCACAGCAGACTGTAGAGTAAATAATTACCCCCAGGAAAATTGTTTAGATTAATACTACAAACAATCAAATAAAATGGAACTTACCCTTTGGCGGATTGAAGGAGATTGCACTACAAAACAACGACTCCTCATTTTTCCAGTCCCAATTCCGAATCACTGTTTTCGCACTAAAACCGGCCAACACCAAAACGAAGCCCGCACATAAATATCCACGATTCATTTTAAGTTTCCACAACTTCGCACTGGCAATACCGATCAACAAACAAAAACCCGCACTCGGTATATACAAGACACGCTCCGCTACTACGAATCCGACGTAGAAGAGCAAATTTGATGCCGGCAGAAAGGGAAGAACTATTAGCGATAAAGAAAATAATACACTGTGTCTCGATGTTACTTTTTGCGATGTTAACTTCACCGCTGTGCAAACGCAAAGAAAGTGGTGATTATGGGTAGTATTGTTGTTATTTGCTATCCTGCAGTTATGCGAATGAGTATCCGAATTTCTTCTGTGGTAAATTATGCAACCTAAAACAAATATAATGCATAATAAATATTCTTTACACAGAACCAGTTTATAACCATCTCACCTGCTTTAATGAAATTTGCATAACTAACGGAAAACCATCCCCTCGGCTCGAGAATTCCGAAGAGACAAACTCCCAATACCACTGTAAGTACTGTGTAAAAACATAAAGCATAAAACACCCGTGGGTCTCTGATACTGTGTATTCTGGGTATAGCGTCCATTCCCCAGTCGAAACTTAATTGACTGGGGTAAACCAATATTAAAAAATTCACGAAAGGTAGATAAGCTAAGGTCAAAAACCTTGTAGTCGCACTTGGTTCTCTTGCTGTGGGATTGTCAGCTGCTGAAAATTGTGGAGGTTTGGTGTTGAGGCGAGGTATTAGGATCAGCAGTAGGGCCACTGACAGGATGAGAAAACTTTTCTTCTGTTTCTGAAACAATAGCATTGTTTTATTGTCAGAGAACGAGCAAATATAGCGTTAGTTTTATTTCAAAGTGAATATGATATACAGGGCGTTCCGTAAATATGTTAAAATATTTTAACAGCGTGTTCTAGTCATTTTAAAGTCATTTTTTCAATTTGAGGTTTTATTGTTGACATATTTAGCTTCCAAAATGGCGGAAAATATTAGTTTTTGTTGTGTTTCTTTAAAACGGTTAAACATATAAACTTCAATTTTGGTACTGTTTTCTGGTTCAGTTTACTTTTATACTGTAGAAATGTGGAACCCCTACTTTTATTTTGTTCAGAACTTTATTAGTTAATTACTAACAACCAAATTTTTTTTTCGAAAATGTGTATTTCGGATCAAATTACAATTATTAAATTTTAATAAATTTTACTTAAATAATACCATGGTAACAATATGCGCAACGATACAGACTGTAAAGTTTGCACGGAGGTTCTTATTTCGTTAGAAATACTAAATATTCTTCCTTGAAGTTCCTCAATTGTATTCTCTTCTGTTGCATACACCGCATTTTTTAAATGGCCTCAGAAGTAAAAATCAAGCGCGTTTATATCAGGAGATCTAGGAGGCCAGTTTATAGGAGCTTCTTGACCCCTCCCAATCCAACGTCTGGAAAGTTTTGATCAAGCCAATCTCGAACCAGCAAAGAAAAATGAGCAGGGGCACCATCGTGCATACACCACATTTGTTGTCGTAGTTGGAGAGGCAAATCTTCCAATAACTCAAAAAGATTGTTTTGTAAAAAATTCAAGTACTGAGCCCTTCCTAAACGTCTAAGTAAGATCTGCGGTCCTATTAAAAAATCTCCTATTATTCCAGCCCAGACGTTGAGAGAAAATCAATGTTGGTATTTTGTTGTGATGAAAGAAATTGGATTTTCGGCAGACCATTCATGCATATTATGGTAATTAAAAACATCTATTCTTGTAAATAAAGCTTTATCGGTGAACAGTATTTGCTGGGTGAATTGAGAGTTTCTACTACGATTGTCTAGAATTTCTGCGCAAAATCTTACTCGCAGTTCATTATCTGTTGATAACAATTCTTGTACTCGTTTAAAGTGGAAAGGATGCAAGTCGGTTTTTGATAAAATGCGCCAAATACTAGTAGCAGATATATTAAAATGCCTTGATGCTTCTCGGATAGACGCTCTTGAATTGCTACCAAAATAATCCAAAACGGTGCGTTCTTGTCGAGCATGTCCTCTACCTTCATTTCGTTGACGGGTTCTAGTGGCTCATAGTCTTAAATGAATTTTGGTAAAAGTTGGATGGTTAAGAACTCGACGATTAGGAAATCTTTCTGCGTAAGAGCGTTGCCATGACATTCTCCGTATATCAAATGCATGTCTGTATATTCTTCGTTATTATAATAGTTATTTATGTTATTCATATTCTATGTCTAACATAAAAACTAATACAACAAAGAAACCGACCAACGAAACTTACAGAACTTGGAAACTGTCAGCAGCCGCTGTAATTTTTTTGACAATGAAAACTAAACGATATTTAACAGCCTACTTTGTTTATTGCACTTTTTGTATTCAAACGTTATTAAATAAAAATTCGTTAGGTACGTACTCACACATTTTGAGAACGGCAAATAAAACTATTTTATTTATTTGTGGGCAAACTAGTGGTCTTAGGAAAAAACAATAAGAGATAAAAAAGTAGGTAAATAATTTGTAGTAATTACAAAAATTATGCTGATCATAGTTTAAATGCATAGAAAAAAGTTCTGATCAAAATAAAAGTAGGGGTTCCACATTTCTACCCTGTATAAAAGTAAACAGAACCACAAAACACTACCACAGAATGGCACGCAATTAGGTTATCATGTATACCAAAATTGAAGTTTATACGTTAAACCCTTTTAAAGAAACACAACAAAAACTAATGTTTTCTGCCATTTTGAAAATCAAATATGTCAACAATGAAACCTCAAATTAAGAAAACTCTCTGGAAAACCCTCTTTTAAAGTGACTAGAAGAACACGCTGTTAAAATATTTACGGAACACCCTGTATATCAAGAGGCATTTACCAAATTTCTAAGTCTTGTAATATTAAGTTCAATGGTGGCTCACAATCTTGCCTTAAATCGATTAATTGCATGTTTCTAACCATTTGAATAAGATTTGAATCAAAATTCTTTTAATATTAGTAAGTAATAAATATATGAATTTCCTCGGGTATATCCGAGCAAGAAATCATGTAAGATAGTGCAAGCTTCGGGGATCTCTAACCTGACATGTGCGTCACAAAATAGCCATATGAAAACTTTAAATTGACAATATTTCGAAACTTATACACTTTTGGAATCAAAAACTTTACACAAACTTACCCCTATTTTTAATACTGAATAACACAAATTATCAAAAATGGAGGTTCAATAATTATTTTGGACGGTTTTCTCAACGTCATTTTGAAAGCATTTTTTTTACTTTTACTTACTTATGATGAAATGAAATATATTTAGAATTTGACGTGGCATACTGTCCAATGTTCAAATTTCTCCTAATTACATGTTGGGTTGCCAGACCTCGATTGCGGCGGTTCCCGGTGGGATGCGTTGTATAGGCAGGCCTTTTTTGGTATGAGTCGGTTTCCGAAAGTTTATTGACGACCATCTATTACACAGCTTAACAATAAAACCTTACCACTGAAAAAATACTTCATAGCCACCAAATAAGCGCCACCAGCGCGATATAATTACTTCTAATTAGTGAAAGTTTGAATTAAAGTGTACGTTGGTAAATTAATCAATTAAGTTTCAATCTCGGAAAATATGTTTGCAACAAGATTGCTATCGAATTTTCAAATCATATTCATGTTCTCAAAATTGAATCGAAAAGTTATTTTTCTTATCGTTATTATTATTAGAAAAAAATATATATATTAGAAACAAGTTAGTGCCCTAATTGTCAAATTGTGAAATCCAATGTATTCATCATTGGTTGCCTACAAAAATTATAGAATTATTATTAATAACATTTCAGTTATTGTAAACTTTTAACATAAATCGGCTTTGTTTACTGATAATTTTAATATTTACTTATAATTTTATTTTAGTTACGTTGATAAATATGCCCAAATTGATTAATAGGTGAACATATTTAAATATTGATGGAAACCAGCCATCAGCAAAGATTGACCCAATAAATAAAATGTTTCCACTATTTATTGCTGATTATACATAATTTTTATATTTTTATATGAATAGCAAAACCTAAGCATTGTAATTAACCTGAATTATTATTATATTGCAAATTAAATTCTTGCATTAATTCAATCTCAATTAACGTTGATTTAGTAGTCGTTATTCGGAAGTTTAAAAAGTTCTCCGAATTTAGCAGAAGGTTAACGTATCTTGAAGAATAAGTATAACATAAATTTTAGTGTCGTATATGTATATCGATCATACGTATACTCATCATTAAGTATTTAATGTGCGATTTTTAAATATTTAATGTCTTCCAAACGTGGAAATAGAAGTGATGGGTCAGAAATGGCTTTTCAAATTCCGTTTATACCTTTTCTTTCTTTTCGAACTTGAACTTGTTAACTAGTTGACTGTGATGTAAATTGTTGTTAGTTTTTCAATTAACGCCTGTTTGAACGCTCCTTAAATTACATCTTTTACTATTACCTTTGAGAAACAAGATTATAGAAAATACAGAGTGATTTAAAATTGGCGTCATTCCTTTTAAGGGTATATAGGGGCCCACTTCGAGAGTACGAGAAAAATATTCAAAAATCTTTTTTCGAAAATTTCAAGAAGATTATAACAGTTGAAGATCGAATTTCAACTTTGTTATTAAGCGTTATTTTGAAATAGTCCCACGTTTGATTGGTAGCCAATTGGAATACTTAAGCATTCGGAAAGAAAATCTTTGCGTCAAATTACGAATTTTTTTTATATTAAAAAAGTTCTCTTCTTCAATTTTTTGATAAAGTCAAAGCGGCAATGATATTTCTTTGTGATTAACAGGTTTTGTCAATAATAACAAGCATTTGTCAAACTGTGACTTATTTTGAATCTCCTTTCACAAAATGTAAACCAACAGCGAATTTGCGAATATTCGATTAGTTATGGAAAATCCACAGTAACAAAGGAGAAGCTGTAAGAACTTACACCAGCGAACAGATACAGACTAGGCGAGTGGCTCTAAATGGACGCAGACAGTCGACAATCTAAAAATGCTCAGTCTCAAGACCTAGAGGAACAGGTATTGGAGATTATTGCAGCTGAGCCTTCCAGGAGTACTTGAAGCATTGTACAACAACTGCACTTTCTCAAACACCGGACACATTGTCCCGATAACTCCCCCGAGGAAGCGCCTACATTCCTACCATGTATGTGATATGCACAGGACACTAGAACACATTAAATCTCTGATCTTCCGGGCACTGGTTTAAATTGAGCAGTAGTTAATTAAACGAACACGAGAAGCTGCTCAAAATATGAGCTCAGACTGAAAGTGATTGGGACGCAAAGATGTTTGGAGTGAAACGGGCAGGACTTCTCGCTCTTGGGAACACTTGTGTTTTAACAACAAAATTGTATTTTATGTGATCAATAATATTGATCAATGATACATAACCTTTAACCGCTGATTTTAGATGACAGTTGTGACCTATTTAGGTATAATAATTTGCCCCAAAAAGATGGCAGCACTGGGCTGTTTTGTCGCAGCACTGACCGCAAGGTAACACCGTTATCCTAACCTCAACTCATGTTATTGTCTCTTTTATTTTCTTTGCTTCATGTTCATCTATGGTTACCGGAGTTTTTAAGAATTACGGAGGAACAGGTATTTACGAAATGTGAATTAGGCAGATTACCTTGAAAAACATTGTTGCCATAATTCTGATCTAGGTTTTTCGAAATATGGGAGTTTTTAATACCATTTAACTTTGTGCTATTTTTGCTGTACTTCCAAGACACCCCCAGACAACCCTCC